CCCCAAAACCCCAAAACCCCAAAACCCCAAAACCCCGGATGAATAGATTACAAGAATGTGTAATGATGATTAAATTATTATTTTAATATTTTTAATTCATTCAAAAATGAACAAGGTAATTTTGTATTTTCAATTTCCTCAAAATATTCAAATTAACTCAGAAAGAATTTCAAATCATTAATCTTTTCTAATAGAAATCATTTTATGCAAGGATCTAAATGTACTTCCTTCAGATTTATTCTGCAAATATCAACTTTAATACAAGATGCTCATTAGAATGATCGTAAATATAATTGAATTTTATCAAATATAACCATAGATTATTTTTTCTGTCAACCTTAGCTTTTCTCGTGCTTGCTAATTTTCATTTTACTCACATGAGTAAGTTCTCAAATGTAATATTCTATTAAAATCCATAATAAAGTCTAATAGATTAGCTGCATGTCTGAAGAAATTATGAACTCAATTGATGTTAGTCATAACAGATATGAAAATTAAGACGCATAAATCTTTGTAGATTAAGAAAAGTTTTAGTCATTTTTTGAATAGCATGTAGATGTCTTTTTCTTCAGAGTAATATATCTTTTAAAACATTAAAAGATTGTAGATCAAGTGTCAACAGTAAATCAAATACTCAGAAGAGTATTCTAATATGAAGATAGTCAGGATAATTATGTCTATTCTTCAATTCTATCAAGAGAGTAAAATGGTTATAATATGATTGTTAGTGGACTTACTAGAGATATCCTGGACACAATAGATGTAAGATAGTGATTATAATAATTTTAAGTATTTGAATGGAACTCATCCTAGATAAGACATATATAATCATAGGAGGCCTTTAATGCACAGATTGAAAATAAATGATGTGTAAATGTTTGACTCCCCTCTACATAGATAAAGTGATTAAATCACTAATCCAATAGAAATTACTAAAGATCAAGTGTCAGAAGAGCCAACAACTCTTTTAGGATATCTGAGGCAGTATTTCTTCGATAAAATGACTCTCAAAGATAATATCTTTATTTTCACATTCAATCAAACTCTTCTCAACTCCTCAATCAAATAACTTAGATAAGTAGAGAAGCTCAGAGTACGGTATATTTAAATTGATTCGAAGCATAAATGTGTTCCTACTGATTGGTATCTAGGTTATGATACCTTTGCCATTTATACTTTTTATCAACTCTCTGGAAATTAAGGGTTTTTAAGGTCTATGATGAACAATAGAGTAATAGACTTTAATAATGTTTTCCAAAATTCTATGGGATTTTTTAGCTTTTGTTATTTTAAGTTTATGCTTGGCATGCAAGTTTTTACTGAGTTATTTCTACTAGGCTCACTAGTTGTTTTGATATCAAATATCATGCAAATATTAATCATAGAGATATGCTCAAGGGCCAGAAACGATAGAGTAAGCGTATCAATTACATTATTAGCAAAGTTAAGTACATTAAATACAGCTAATTTATTGAAAAACTCGCTCTCAACAGATCAATCACTTTTTATTTGCTTGGTTTGCCAATTATCATATCTCTTTAGCTTACTTTTGTAAGTTTATAAATCTTAAGCTAATTAAAAATAGATTGAGAAATAGTAGACAGTACTATAAATTCAGACTTACCTTCATGGTAAACACTTATTTATACTATCTTTATGTTCAAACTTACCCTTTTGCTAACTACAGACTGCTAAATATTATGTACTGCACATCAATTTTAGTAATTAGAATTCATTTTAATCTATGTAGTATTCATCTATTCATCACTTGAACAAGTTTGTCTTCCAATTTGAGCACCTCATAAATTTATTGGATAACGGCTTTGAGCACTTAATTACAGTTAATATTAGAGAAGCAATTACAAGAAGGGTTGAATAATAAATTCATGAGGTTTTACTCTAGCAGTAACTGCAAGAAGAATTAGAATCAAATGAGCATGGAGATGAAATGAACTAGGATGATTAGTAAATTCCTAGTTAGGATGGGAATATTGATAATCATCAATCAGATTAGTAATTAAATAATTAAGAATCTTTGGATCCTTAACTAAATAATGGCCTCAAAGAGGAAAATTAGGATATAGTAGATGAAGGAAGCTCCGTACAGTAAAGTTGCTACTATGAATAAAGATTAAACAATGATTCTGAAAAATCTCTGAGCAAATTGATTATGGTAGAAGAGGATTAAAAGCGTTAAGAAAATGTTCATATGCTATGACAAAAAATAAAACTACATTAACAGACTAAAGATGAATAGGATGCTATAAGTAGAATGAATATATACGAAGATACCGATTAGAATCATAGCTTAGATGAGATCATCTTAAATAAGAGAAGAAGATTCTCTGAATAAAGCTTGAAATTGTAGAGTTTATGATAAGAATGAGGTTTCTATTAATGGAAACAATTTCAGATATTAGATTAATGTGATCTAGAAACATGAAGAAAACTGCTCCAATAAATGTGTAAATATTAGCTTAATTAACACTCTTATTAATATTTATCTCTCATTCCGTCACTCTATTAAATCATTTTAAATCTATTTCACTGATCAAATGATAAAAGCTTTCAATGCTTTTTCAGCATAATACTTCACATCAAAATCTTTTTCGTCTTTCTCCATTTCTTGCAAGACTTCTTGGCAGCTCAATTTATTACTATTTGTTAATTTTGGATACAATTTCTCAATTGCCTTTGAAACATTAAATCTGATGTTTGGAACGGGATCTCTGCCTAATTTTACAAGATAAGGAATCAACTTCTCGTTTAAAAATCCTTGTGAAACATTGTCAGCGACCTTTGAAATTAAAAAGATGGTGTGAATTCTAATGCCAAACTTCTCATGTTGATGGAATTCTTGGCATTTTCTCTCTATATTATCTTCAAGCCATTTCTAGTCAAATATTTTTTCTTTTAATTTAATTAAGATCTAGATTGATTCTTCTCTGACTTGGAACACGGGATCACTTAACCAGCCGAACACATGTGATTCAAGTCTATCCTAGAAAAGTTAGGCTGGAATAAACTCTGCCAAATTTGGTATGAATTGAATGACTGCCAATTTCACCCTCCATATTTTATCAGTGGATAAAGATATAATTCCAGGAATAATATGGTTATCGAATTCTTTATCTCCAATAATTTCAGCTAATGTCTTCATATGAGTCATCAAAGTGATTTTAACCTCTGTTGGTGAATCTTTTAGCAGCTAGGTAACTGGTGGAATAATAAAATCTAAAGTATTTTTCTATCCAATATACTTAGATAACTCACAGATGGTCAGAGCAAGAGATCCCTTAACATGCATAGATTGATCGTTGACAGTATACGAATTAAGTATAGGTAGAATTCTCTCTACAATAGCAGAGGGACTGCAATTTTTAGCAAGCTCAGGTAACTTAGCAACTGCTTCTGATCTGACTTCTGGCTCCTTATCTTGAATAAGTGTTTCATAATATCCAATAATGTCGGTGTCAGCTATTTCCTTGCTTACCTATCCTGCCAAATCAGCAGCTATCTCAGCTACTGAGAATCTGAGTCGCCATGAGACCATTTTATTGTCTACAGCAGTTCTAAGTGGAGGAATAATTTCAGACTTAACAACTGCTTAATCATCAATTAACTTTGCTACCTTAACAGAAGCACCAACAGCTTGAATTTTAACAGAATCATTATCATCTGAGAGCAAAGCTTTCAAAATTGGAAGCAGATAAGTTTTTGCAAGTTCTTAATCATTCAAGGAGTCAGCAAGGATTGATAAAGATTAGGCAGCCCCTCTTCTTACCATTGGAGTGTCATCTTTGGATAATTTTTCAAATTTACCTCTTGTATATTGCTTTCTCTCATTATCAAGTCTTTTGTAGATAAATGCATACAAGAAGCAGGCAGATATTCTCATAGAAAATAAGTCACCTTTCCTCATCTTCTTAACAAGGGGCATATACTCTGTGTAGATTGTCTCTGAACTGATTCTCTCTCCTGCAATTTTCAAGGAAGCAACTGCCTTTTCCCGCACTACTGAATCATCAGATGATAAAATCAGTTCAAGGGGTTTCAATAAATGCACTGAATTAGCCTCTTAACCTAGGTAATCAGCAAGCTTTCCTAGTTAATCTGCCAGGTTCAGCATCAGCTCAGGGTTATTATCAATTCTATCGATCAATTCAGTCAACATAGGAATAAGTTCATCGATGCAGCGTTCAGGTCCTATACAGCACAATTAGTAAATTCAATCAAATCTCCAAGTAGTTTAGTATTTTACCTAGTAATTAAGCGATTTGAGTAAGTCTTTAGATTGAATGAAGCTTGGCATGGGGATCTTCATTGCTAAGATCATCTATAAGCAAAGCCACTCTTGAAATATGGTCTAATTCATCAATCTCATCTCCTTAGATTTAATCTTCAAGCTTTTCCATCTTAATTTCAAATTTATATATTTTGGTATTTTTAAATCTATATAAATTTCACCTTTTGGGGTTTTGGGGTTTTGGGGTTTTGGGG